TGCCACTGCTGAAACTCAGCAGCCCAGACACACCCGCCAACCCAGCATCGGGTGTGTTGACAATAATATTTCCGCTTGAGGTTTGGGTGCTCTGTCCAGATTGGATTGTGACTGATCCACCAGTCGAAGCACTGGTAGTTTTGCCTGCCAAGATTGTTACTTCACCACCGCTTCCTTGTCCCCCTTGACCAACTGATACGGAAATGTAGCCACCTTTGCCAGCAGTGGATGCGCCACTATAAAGTGTTAACGAGCCACTATCACCGGCAGGCGCAGCACCAGAGTAGAACTGTAATGAACCACTGACACCATTGGCACCACCGTCGTATGTGTGAATGGCAATGTCTCCGCTTGACGTCAAACCACCTGAGCCGGTCAGGATGTTGATATCTCCACCAGTTTGAATTCCAAGACCCCCATACAATTCAACATTGCCGCCTTTTTGACCAACACCGTACGTTTCACCAGCTGTCATAGATACCTTACCACCAGTGCCACTGTTACCTCGTCCAACGGTCACAAGAAAATCGCCACCTTTTCCAAGGTTGCTGTTGCCGGTTCCAAAAACGATTGCTCCAGATGATCCAAAAGCCGAAGTGCCACTGCTAAAGCTGAGCAGGCCAGAGGTACCACCAATTCCCGAATCAGCGCTCGAAAGATACATTGGGCCACTTGTAGTAGCTGTCCCGCGGCCAGTTCTGACGAGGACTGTTCCGCCAGTGGCAATTGAACTGTCCCCTGCTACTACCGTCGCGTCTCCACCAGCATTTGTATCACCAGCTCCAACAAGAACCGAAATGGAGCCGCCATTGCCGTTGGTTGCCAGCCCAGATGAAAGTGTAATTGCTCCGGAATTGCCATTCAAGCTGGATCCCGTTGAAATTCCAATGGCTCCGCTAACCCCAGAAAGACCAGAGTCACTAGTGCGTAACACAATACTTCCACTGGTTGTTGTTTGCCCTTGACCACTCGTGATGCTGATGGACCCGCCAGTTTCAACCCCGCTTCCTCCAACAAGCTGGACAGGGCCACCAGCTGTGCCAGATCCGTATGTAGAGCCAGAACTCAATAAAATGCTTCCACCAACGCCAACGTTCCCACCTCCCACTGTCATGAGGACAGAGCCGCCTTGGCCACCAGTACTGGTTCCAGTGCCCAGGACCAAATTTCCGGAGTTGCCGGCGGTGGCCGTGCCAGAGCTAAAGCTCAAAAATCCAGATGTACCCATTGTACCCGCATCAACAGACCGAAGCAAAATGTTCCCACTGGACCGTGTAGTCCCAGCACCCGACGAAAGGAAAATCGATCCCCCGGAGCTTAGGCTGTCGGTTGTTGTCCCAGCGGTCGCAAAGATACTTCCACCGAGAGTTGTATCGCCGCTCCCAACACTGACATACACGGAACCACCAGCACCACCAGTAGATACTCCCGTACTCAAGGTGACTACACCACTGTTGCCTGCCATTGAACCGCCGGTTGACAAAGAGATTTGACCACTGACTCCAGAACGTCCAGAGGTCGGTGTCATCATGGATATGTCCCCGGAAGACTTGGTAGTACTCTCTCCACTCGAAACGCGAACGGATCCACCAATCGTTCCACCATGTCCACCCGTCAACTCGACTTGACCACCAGTAAATTCGCTGGAACCAGCAGACAAAAGAATTCGGCCACCTTTGTCAGTGTCGCCAGGACCAACAAGTAAGCTGATGGAACCACCATGTCCTTTCGTTGCTTGTCCCGTAGTAACCGTTACTGCACCCGATGTCCCCTTCACGCTCGTACCAGTTTGTATAGAAATGCTACCTGACTGGGAGCTTGACAGAGCTGTCGAAGTGCGGGGCAAGTTCGATGGGGCCGTTTGAATTTTAATATCGCCACTTGATGAAGTTTGGCCTTGTCCAGTCATCATGGAGATACCCCCACCACTGGAGAATTGGTTATTTCCAGCTGATATCGTGACAGCAGAACCCAGGACATCTTCCCCACCACTGTCGCCAGCAGAAATGCGAATTCCACCGCCTTGCCCTTTGTTGGAATTGCCACCACGTAACGAAATTGCACCACTTGCTATGGGCGAGTCACCAGTTGCAAGTTCAATGGATCCACTGTTGCCAAGTCCACCAGAGTTTGCTGTCGTCAAGTGGATCGATCCACTTGTCGTCGCAGAACTAGAAATGTCGTCATCGAAACGTGGCATTGCATACGTCGCATACCTTATTCCACTTCGTAGGACGACCGTTCCACCTGTAGCTAAACTGCTATAACCAGCAGTAATGTTTACTCCCCCTAAAAATGTGTCAGTAGACGCAATATATCATCGAACATTTCTACATACCGCCAGCATTCCAAACCGAGCCCCCGGACGACAGCAAAATATTGCCACTCAATCCAGGTTTGCTGGTGCTGTTACCAGATTCGAGCAAAATTGAGCCGGCACGATTTTGAGTCGACGAACCACTCATCAATGATATGTTTCCTGCTGGTTTCACATGAGTCGACCCCGACCGCATCTTGACATTCCCCGATGAACCATCGTTCGTGGAGCTCGCGGTTGCTAACTTGATCTCTCCTGTCGAAAGAGAACCATACCCTGATTGCAGCAAAATTGAACCACCGCCTCCGTTGTTAGTTGGGCCACTTGACATAGAAATGCTGCTTCCATTTTGTAGTTTGCTCGACCCGACACTGATCGCAATTTGGCCAGCTGCACCCCAGGTAGCATTTCCAGTTGACACATAAAATGATCCCGTGCTTCCTTCTGAGCTGCGTGTGGACAACAAAATTTGACCACTTGAGCCCTTATGGTCTGATGCTTTGGTACGAACAGTAATATCACCACCATTTTCAAAAGAGCTGCCACCACTTTCAAGAAGTAGATTCGCACCTTGCTTGGTTTGAGAAGAACCACTCACGATGGATACACCGCCACCGTGGCCAAACTTGCTGTTTCCACCGTAGACATGCACGAAACCAGCACCATCTCCATTTTGGGTATTCCCAGATGTCAAGGTAACATTTCCAGACGAACCAACTTCGGCGGCACCGGACATCAGCATGACAGTGCCAGTTGCACCATTCATGAGACTGTTGCCTGATGCCAAGCGAATTGAACCGGTTGAACTAGTGGTTGCATTTGCAGATTGAATGGCCACATCGCCTGTCAATGTTTCGCTCTTTCCACTGGAAAGTTGAATGTCGCCACCTGTGCGAAGGCTGCTTCGGCCAGCTCGAATAGTTACAGCACTACCCTTGTCAGCACTGCTTCCCGCTAAGACATTCACGTTTCCACCCACGGTTGCACCTGATGATCCACTTGACAAAGTTATGGTCCCAGAAGCTGACGAGCCATTTCCACTTGAAACAATCACACTTCCCGATTTCAGGCCGCTCATAGAGGAGACTTGAACCGCACCACTTTCAGCGCGATTGCCAACGCCAGAAAGAAGGTCAACATGTCCACCAACGGCCTCATCGCTTTGTCCAGCACGGAGAGAAAGTGACCCACCCGATTCATGACCTCCGCGACCGCTCTGAATGAAGACAGAACCACCTTCAACTCCGTCACCGGCATGAAGGTCCACAGCACCACCGCTGCTTGATCCAGAGCCAGCCTTTACCACGACAGCACCACCACTCAGATTGTCACTGGCACCAGCATAGATCGTAACACTACCGGCATCAGAACCGTGAGAAGCACCGGAAAACAATTCAACATCTCCAGTCCTTCCTGATAAAGTATCTGTCGATCCAACTTCAAGTTTTGCCGAACTCTTCACAGCAACAGTTCTGCTCGACATATCAACACTCGCACGGCTCTGCAGAATCATAGTCCCGTCACTTGAGATGCCAACAAACGACTCGCCATCCACGGTAACCAACGAGGCTGCTGCAGAAAGCACATCACTGGCATGGACGCGCACTGCCCCGCCGTTGGCGCCGCTGTTGATCACAACGTCGCCCCCAGCGCCAGACAATCCTTGACCTGCAGCCAACTCCACCGTGCCGCCTGATGATGCGCCATCTCCACCATGCAAACTCAGGACTCCTCCTTGCCCACGAGACGCACCGACGGCAACCTCAACTGCCGAAGCAGTCTCGCCGCGGCCAGACGTTATCTTCACTGAGCCTCCGTTGGCAGTGGAGCTGTCACCACCCTGCAATACGACTGCACCGGCCACACCACGACCGCCCTTCAACTCAATCGATCCCGCTTGACTCGACGAACTCGTTCCTGCTTGGATCGTGACGTTTGAGCTTGCGCCGCTGTTGTCACCAGTTGCGATGACCACGTCGCCCGTCGTTTCGGTCAGCAAGTTGAGACTGCCTTGAGCTGCCGCCACACGCACTGTTGGTCCATGGACGGCAGCCAAACCGTCTGTCGCTTCAACTCGAGTGTTGCTTGCTGTGACAGCAAAGTCACCACGACTGGTTGCATCGCCCGCAGACACTTGAACGTTCCCAGTCTTTGCAGCGCCAGATCCCGTTCGAAGGACCAAATCGCCGCTCGTTACACTGTCAGCCGTAGACAATTCAATCGTGCCGCTGACTTCGCCTCGTCCAGACGACACACGAACTTCGCCGCCGACAGACGCACGGCTGTCGCCGCCACGAACAACAACTGAGCTGCCTGCTTGCGTGCCAACATTGGTCGCACCGGACACTTCAACCTGGCCTCCAATATCGCTGGTCTCGCCACCCGACACCACCACATTTCCAACACTGGACGACGACCCTGGCACCAACGCAATGGTACCCGAAGACGTCGTCGCACTGCCAGAGCTGATTTGGATGCTGCCACTAGTTTCCGAAGCCCCCGTGCTCAACGACAATTGCCCACTGCGCGGGGCCTGGGCAGTCGTGATTTCGTTGCCCCCGCTGATGGT